AGGGTATAAGGAGGCCCACTCTCAAACTATGGTCCAACTAGACCAGTAGTCCTCTAAGCCCTGCCTAGTATTCTCCAGAAGACAATAAGATGAGCACCAAGCAATGCGAGAAAAGAGGGATAAGAAGGAGAGATGACCATGGTGGTTCTGTCTTACACAGTAGTCCACAGAACAAAACAAAAAAAAAGATGGTACACCATTGAAAGAAGGAAGGGAAGGTCTCAGTTAAGACGCTCGACTGGGATTCAGGGTTCAACTCCTGGCTTTGTACCACAGCCTTCTTGCAAGGCCTTGGGTAGGGCACTTATGCTCTCTGGGTCTTTGTTCCCAATCTGTAAAATGGAGAGAATAATAATCCTCCCTTTATTGGTCTTGCCTGCTTAGATTGGAAGCTCTTAGGGGCAGGGACTGTCCCTTGCTGTATTTTTGTGCCTAAAACAATGGTGCCATGATCTTAGTGGGAACTATCGAAACAATAAGACAAAATATCTAATATCGTAATATTGAAGTCAATATATTAAAAATTGGCCGCCAGTGAAGAAAGTCCAGGAATAGTGGCAAATAGTCCAGAGTGACCTGCTTTTATGTGGTCATTAAAAAAAAAGTTCTTACTTGTGGTGCAACATTGGCTCAAATTTCTCTCAATAGTCTAAGAGCAGAGAGATAAGGCACATTTACAATGCAGTAAGCATCTCTTATGAATCCCCATTGAATCCCTGACTTCAATCGAAATAAATTACCAAGCAACATGAGGGAACACTTTATGCCACTGTCAAGGGCAGATGTAAGACACAAACTTCTTCCCTCTCTAATTATCCACTTAATCTTTAACAACATGCCATTTGGATTGGTTGGTCAATGTGCTACTTAACCACTAGCAAAGGAAACATCCAGAAGATAAAAAGAGAAGAGAAGAGAAGTCACTAAACAAAGATAATTAATAAATGAATTCCCTCCACAAGCGATTGCTGAAAATACATATAGTTATAGAGAAATATTCCTTTCTTTTCCTACTGTCTAACACACTCCGGTCCATACTGATCTTTCAGGCCAGTTATTTGTAGTGAGAAATGGGGAAAGTCTTTGTGATGGGTTCGGTCACAGAGATCTCTTGGGACTGTCACCTGATGTGCTGAAATTACCTCTGAGTCCGTTTTCCCTGTCAGCTTGGGACTCCAGAAACCTGTCTTGTTGAGCCAGCCACGCTAGCCTGCTGCAACACAGACCCAGGGTCTGAACCACCCCCCCAAAGCTACAGGCTTTAAGTG